AACTCCCCACCACCACTCCCCGTATGCTGCCTACCTGTCACCTCTGTTCACAGTGCATCAGTCCCTACCGAATGCCTTAACTCATAGGTCTTACCTAGACATGGCTGGTTTTTGCTCAACTGTCACCATTCCCTGGGCCTACTCATAATTAACTGGTTATGGAGTTCAGCTTCCCCAGCTTCATCTCCAGGAGCTCCACACTCTTCCACTGCCAAACACTTCCTGCTTTTGGGTTTATAAAGCCCAGTATGGAGACTTGGCTTTTAATGTTTAGTCTTCCTTAAAGCCTCCATTCCCTCCCTTTCTTCCTCTCTCAGGAATGGAGTTAGGAATTTCTTATTACAGGCTGGGCTTGTAAGGACTACTCTTTCAGTTTATCATGTGAGCCTTCCAGAACAGGGTTAAGGTATGCTAGCAGAAAAGAGTAACTAAAGACTGAATAATACTGCACAGAGCTCTGCATAGGTGTGAAGGACCATCTGTGCAAATTCATGGCCAAATTTGGGATTCTATACGTCTGTTTGGCAAGGGGACTTAAGGTTGATTGTTAAGATTTGAGGAGCATCTGTGATCCCAGCATGACCTGTTCACTGCCCATTCTCCTGCCAACGAGTCCACTGACCAAAGTCCAGAGTCCTAGTGAAGAACTTCTGTAATTAAAAACAAAAACAAACCCCCCCAATAAAAGCTCTACCGCCTAGACTAAAAAGCAGGCTACAAAAGTCAGAAGGGAGGTGTTGATACTCATGAGTAAGCGGGCTTTTATCATAGTAGTCTCATACTTATTTACTCTAGATACTGGAACATTAGTAAATTATGTGAGAATTGCTGTCTTCATAACAAGAAAACTTAAATAAGCACATTTTTGTAAAAACAATACACAAATAAATGGTACATAAATAATTGTCTTTTTTTTAGACTTAGACATCAAAGGAATCAAATGATGAAAAGACTGGTAACTTAAAATGTCAGTCAGTGTGCTTTACTGTAACTAAAAAGAGTGACTAGAACTTTTTCCGTTTATTTGCTTTAAACTTGGCTTGCTTTGACAAATGCTTTTGCTCCTTGCTGCATAGGGAATCAGTTTTCTTGGTGTTTGTAGGGCCTTTTATATAATGTCAAAGGATAGAAAAGACCTTAACATAAGGAAATAATCATTTTTAAAACTGTAGGAAATAAGACTGTTATATCACAAAAAGTTGGGAGATGCAGCTTTGGGAGGCATTAGCATCTGTTCCCTCTCTGCAAGCATCACTTTTAAAAATGTTTAGATTTCAGAATTTTAAAGTAACGTAACTTTGTTACTTTTTATCTATTTAATTAAAGTAGCACATTCTATTTTTGTTGAGCAGTTGTATATGTCCAGTTGATTGGAACAGTTCAATGTTGTTCCTTTCTGCAGTAACACAACTTGAATTCACTAAAAGTATACTTGTAGATGTAAGTAGGGCTCTAAATGGAGAGAGAACCAAGATATATATTATCCATACCCCTAAAAGAACAGGATTATAGACCCTCTGGCAAAAGAAGACTTGAATGTTATAATGGTACATCAGTGTAATCTCAGATATTGTTTCTCTGAAGAACATATTCTGCAGTTCCAGGGAAATGAGCTCGTTTGTCGTCATGATCATCAAGGAAATTTATTGTATAATAATATACTTATATTAAAATGTTGTTGATATCTTTTTTTGCCTGTTAAAGCCTCCTTGTTTGCTGTGAGCATGGGGTTTCCATATGAAGATTTAACCACTCAGAACTCACTTTCAATATATTTAAAGTGGCTTAATCAAAGCTGCCAGCCAAACTACTGGAAGGTATAGTATATATAATTATTATAATAGTATAATTATTTTGCTTTTAGAAATTTGAATACACAGTATTGTTAGCTACATTCAACATACTGAAAACAATGTTTTATTTAAGAAACATGAACCAACAAAATAGTTGTGGAGTTGCAATTGGTATGCTTGGAGACTAGAAGATTTTTGGCTGATTTGCAGAATTCTGTTAACCTTTAGCTTTAGTATAAAGCTGTTCCTGAATTTGGGAACACATTTTTGCTGTGAACCATGCAGCATGATTTCATATTTCTGTATGCAAGAGTCTCTGTAGGAGACTCTGTATGCAAGAATCTCTGTATGCTTAAGGCCCTGATATTTCCTTAAGCCTGGGAGTGATTTTAGGCATGTGAGTGGTCCTTTTAACTTTAATACAATTCCTTGGATGTTTGCTTTCCAAAACTGGCCCTGTAGTAAGAATTAATTACTATTCTTGTCTTTCTGTGTGGAGTGGTGTCCTTATTTCTGTACTGGGTTTTTTTCTTGTATGGTGCACTTTGTTATTGTATGTATATATACACTGACTGCCTACAAATGTTCATGTGTAGGGCTGGATATTTTCCTCCACTAGAAATGATTCTGGAAGAGGTAGAAATATAGCTGTTGAGTCTGCAACTGTTCCTTGCCCTTTCACCTTAATCTGGGGAAAGCATTAGCTGCTGCAGTCCTGTTCCTGGGAGACTGAAGCAAGGGACTTGCAGTTGTGCTCCGTCTGCTTGGCTTCTGATGCTGGGAAGGTGAGGGGATGGAGCAGTGGGGCAAAACCCCTTCCTGCCACACACACTTAGGACACCAGTGTGAGAAGCAGGAAGGGACTTTGCCCTGGTATCCCAAGAAGAGCCTCCTCAACCTGTTTCCTGCTAGGTGATTCCCCGTGGGGAAAGGCAAGGGGAAGTATGCAGGGGAGAGTGCAGCAAAGCCCCTGTCTGCTTCTCACTCTAGGAACTTGGGTGTGAGAAGCAGGCAGCGAGGTGCACTGCTCCCTGCCACTTGACTCCTGGTGCCTGACAGCCAAGCAGAGGGCAAAGCCCCTGCACAGTTCTCATATGGGGAACTGTAGTTGAGAAGGAGATGACTGTGCTGTGCCACCCACACGGCTTCTCCACACTAGTGATTCTAGGTTCAGGAGGGCACAGGAGCCTTTACCCCAGCTCCACTCCACTTGGTCCCTAGGAGGAGTTAAGCTAGGGGAAAGTATGTAGACCTTCATTCTTTCGAAAAAAAAATGCTCCCAGGAATATTAAACCTGGTTGTTCCCAAGTTATTTTTCTTGTAGGGCAGCCATTTTTGCTCCAGGAGGAAAAGATTGAACAAATGCACGCTTGTGGTTTCTACTAAAAAATGGTGACTCTTTTAGTAGAAACTTCATATGAGTACATAGCCACTGTCTCTTTTATGTGAGATGCTGTAAAATTGAACCGTCTTCATTTGATACCTATTTTCTTGCCTCTACCTCTGCTTGAAAGTGTCATGTCTACAGTATTTCATCTTTACAAGAAGAAAATCCAGTTAAAGACAGGGAACCTGCTTTGTCTTTATAACTCTGAAAACTTTCATAGTTCTTCATTTTGCTGGGAAATGTAAACTTGCTTTTACCAGTCTAATAAGCAACAATGATATTTTAAACTAAGTTACATAAATACATATTATAGAAACTAGCTTCTACATCACACAATATTGAAACCATTCAGTGAATGCATCTCTTTTCAGCTTTTGTACTTCAGTACAGCTGTATCATCATCATTTTAAGTATCTAATACTTGGACTGAAGATATTTGTTACAGTAGCTTTTTAAAATGTAGTTTTACTGTAATATCATTATGTTTATGAATAAAATGTTGATTTCAGAATGTAATACCAGATCCTTCAAAATCCTGTGGACCATACAAACGGGCTAAAGAATTAAATAACAGAAAAGAGTGGAGCATCTCACAAAGAAAAATGAATATTCATAATCATGATACTATTGGTAAAGTTTTTTGGTAACTTTTATGCTAAAAGATTCGTTTTTGCTAATTGAATATAACAAGAAAAGTTTTCAAACTGGCAGTATACCAAATGCACATCAACATTTTCAACATTTGTTTTTAACTTTGTGTCTATTGTAAAGGGATAGCTACAACATTTTAGTTAACTTAAACTTACATTATAAACCCTATTACCATCTTTCTTCCACTTAACTTTTGGGTGGAGCAACAGATTTACTGCAAAGTGGCATGCTTAAAACAAATTAAGAGTAGTAGTAACAAAGGCACCTGAGAGTTTTGCTAGAGACTCCTGATTTTGGAGGGTCGTATAAAATTGCCTGTACTTTAAAATTATGTATTTATTTATTTGATTTATAAGTTTCCCTCTCAAAAAGACGTCAAGCATGACTTACAATAAAAAAAGATAAATTTATAAAGACAGATAAAATTATTATTAAAACATATTAGAACATACTCCCTAAATGATCCCCCAAAAGTAACCCCCCCCTCCCCGCCCCAAAGCCTTTTGTTGTATTATTGGTATACATGATATTTATATAGCAGGGATTCCAGAACTCCTGGCTTGAGGCCGATTCTAAATGCTTTAGTCCAGGTTACCTTTCTATATTTTGTTAGTTAAATTTTAACTCCCTCATATTGTTCTGGATTGTTGCCAATGTAGTTACTGAAGACTTCTTGTATGACAACTGGTTTTCAGTACCAAGCAGCCCTTTAAAAATTAAGTACTGAGCCCCCGTGCCTCACCCCCTTCTAAAACCCTTTGCATATGGAAACACATCTCACTAAAGGCAGTTAGGCTCCTTACAGGCTTTAAATGCCTTGCTGAATTAGGGCATACATTCATAATTGTGTCCAGATTGGGAAGGCCAAGGTAGATGGGTTATCTGTTTATGGATAACTCTATTGCATTTAAAAAACTGAACTACAATTTAAGTTTCCCCCCTCCCCCCCCCATATGGGCTTCTAGATGCAATATAGTATGAGACCTGCTTCAGAATTTGTCCAAAGTAAATGTTCGTAAAAGATTTAAAATATACGTACATTGAGTGCTTACAGATGTAAAAGAAAAAACAAACTGCTTTCAGCTTTGCACACCCTGAGCACCGTGCATGCCCAGAAGAGGAAGTAGATCAGTTATGGCCTGTCTCACCCAGTGCCTATGTAGCTCACAAGTTTCAGCAGGGTTTTTTGGCACTTCTTTCCAGTTAAACTGGCTATTAGATAAAAGCACCAAAAACCCCACTGAAGCATGAGAGTTATATACAATGGGCGAGCTGCGTCAAACTGGCAAGATTTCTCTTCTGGTAAAGCGCTGTTTTGGGGTTTCCCCTCCCCCACGTCTGTCTTCTACTTGTTAACCAGAGATGATTACATATAGATCAATTTTAAAATGTTCCAGTGTATCAAGAATTAAGGTGCTCAGGTGCCCAACTGCACATGCAACCTGGGCCTTCAAATGTACTGTCAAAATGTTCTGTTCTGACACATTCATACTGTCAAATGTATGTGAATTACTCCTATTAAACTTCATTCTTGTCAAAATCTGCAGGCATGATTGTAATTGGTGAGGCTGGAAACGTTGCTGCTGGGACATCTACAAATGGTGCAACCCACAAAATCCAGGGGTTAGTATTTTTAGTTCAGAAGAAATATGTATGTTGATTATAATCCCTGATTTAAATAATCAGTGTAAGTTTAAATTTTGCTTATACACTGTGCTTGTGCCGTGACCAAGCAAAACAGGCCCCAAGTGTCTATTTGGGCTTCCTTGGTGCTCCCGCATTACAAATAATAACATTTTAATTGGTTTGTTTTTCAATTTTATGTATAAATATAACACGTTCTGTGAGTCTGCTTTTGTTATTGACTTTTAAATGGAAACAAAATTAGGTTCTTTAAGTGTAGTGGGTTTGTTACTTTCTGCTTTTATTACCATGGTAGAGACTTGAGAGTCTTTTTATTGATGATCATGGCATACGTTTTCACTCTTAAAGCTAAACAAGCTTTAAAAATTACTCCTGTTGAAGATAAATTTGACCATATGAATATCTCCTGGACTTTAGGAGCCACACCATAAATATAGTAGGGCTTGCGTACATGTGTGCAAACATTTTTATTTTGAGTAAGTCTTTTCCAAATAGTGAAGGTTGAGGCTAGAGTTAGGCATTGTTTCACCAGGTTATGATGATTTTCTTGGTGTGATTTTATAGTGTGCTGTAATGCTGATCTTTATACTGTGGCGTGAGAAAACATTAACAAGTTATATGTTTAGGAAAATCTGGCATATGAAACTAAGAACAATACTTTTTTAATGATGCTATATTTTATTTGGGGAAACAGAGGAGGAATTAAACAATTGTCTTCATATATTGGGCCCAGCTATGTTCATATACCAATGAAACTGAGGGAGCTGCAGTGAGGATACACTTAATGTAACTGAATTTGACCCATTATAACCAACTCTCCAATTAATTTTGTGGGTTTCTTTCCCTTTCACTATCTAGTCGTGTAGGAGACTCTCCAATAGCTGGGGCTGGAGCTTATGCCGATAGCACAGTTGGTGGAGCTGCAGCCACTGGAGATGGTGATGTCATGATGCGATTTTTACCCAGGTTTGTCCTTTTGGGAGAAATTGCTGAAGTCTCCCTGGAGAAATGTTGTGGAACAAAAACTAACACACAAAATGATTTATTAAGAAGACTTGTTTGTTTATTGGTTTACTGCACAGCGTGGCATGCAGAAAGGGAAAAAGGAGACCATTAGGGCCAATCACCATGGCTTTAAAAAAACAGAACAAAACACTTGTGTTCTCCACAGCTTGTCTTGGAGATGACATATCAATTATGAATCCTTTCATTTCCTTTTCCCTACTTCATGACAAATACCTTGAATGCTGACAGTGTTGGGATTCACAGAGCAAATTCCAACACCATATGTCCTCCACCAAAATGTCTTGTTTGGTCCCTAGTGTTACTTGTGGGAACAAACAAAGTTTGAGGAAAAGAGGAAGAGGCCATCTAAGATATTGGTTTCTTTGTCCTGGGATTTATATATAATTATGTCTCATTTACACCTGGAAATAGAGGCAGGAGGAGGGTATGCTTATTCTTGCAGACCCTGCTTAAAACCTTATTGACTGCTGTTTTCACGTCTTGCAAGTGATCTTTATTGGAAGGCTTATAGATACATGTTTACAATATTCAGTTCTTGAGATAACAGGTTGATACTTAAAAGGGATCTGCCATAGTAGTTTGAAACTAATTCACACAAATGAGTAATTGTTCACTCTAATACTTTGGAGCTGACTGCCTTCCCTGCTGGGGTTGTGAGGCACTGAAGGGAAGCCCCAGGCTCCTTCCTCTGGGAGGTGGGGAAGGCAACTGGCTTCAGCGCGCAGGGTTTCCCTCCTGTGCCTGGCAAATGCAGGAAGCTCTGGTAATACAAACTGCGTGGTGAAGGATGTGCAGCGCTGGCCAGAGCTGAGCATGTCTGCCTGTTGCTGTACCGTGAGGGGAGTTCAGGGGGTCCCCAAACCCCTCCACCCTTCCTCACACACCCACACCCTTCCTCACACACCCACACCCTGCCCCTACCCTGCCCCTACAACCCCCTACATATACAATTCCCCAACATACCCTACGTTCCCCCACACATTGTCACAACCTGCCCACACACACACACCCCCACACACACATACAAACACATCCCACCTTATATACTGGTGATACTTAAGGTTGTATCATTTTAAAGTAGTGGTACACAATCTTTCAAAGTTTGGGAACCACAGGCCTAAAGCAATTGATTGGAAAAAAAGTGTCAGATATTTGTGCTAGTACATACTGGTTTTGAAAAGTGACTGATCTGGAAAAGAAACGTACATTTACAATGTCAGAATATAGGTCTATATTCAAATACCAAAAAGACAGCAATTTGCTTAATTTTGCAGCCCTAACAGAAGCTACATTTTTAAGGAAATTGGGAATATTAGAGGATCCTTTTTCCAAAGTGATTTGGTGCTGGTACTATTCATGTAGAAGTGTTAATGTATTGTAACATGTCATCGTGACTTGATTTGTCTTCTGTTTCTGAAAGCAAAAGTACAGAATAGCAGCCTTTTAGGGATGTGTTGTTGCACAGAATTAAAAGTGCATCTTTGGGGGTTTTTTCCATGTTGTATAGTTCCAAATTACAACAGAGTTATGTTCTTTGTTTTCTTGGACATGGCAGAAATGCAAGGCAATATGCAGCAACTATCCATAGTGTCGCTAAGCTTGTTACCATGGATATGAAGGAAATGTAGATATTTTGGGAGGTTTTATTGTATTCAGAATAAAACGTATTTAAAAAAATCCCATAGCTCTGGTGAGACTATGGGGTAGCAATTTATGAAGGCCTCCATTTAAAAAAATAAAAAAACAAAGGTGCAAAGTCAGTTTAATCACAGATTCCACTTCCACATGAGTACTTGTCCTTGCAGCTGTGGAAAAAACGTTAATGTTTTACTGTGCTTCAACATTTTTAAGGAGAGGCATGGATTTATTCATTCTTCTCTAAAAGGTTTTTTGATACCTGAAAGTAAGATTTACTTTTTATCTTCAGTATAGTATTAAGATATTTTCAGCAACCTAACACTTTTAGAAATTACTAGTAAAATCAACATAATCCACAAAATAGCAATTCAGAATTCTTAGGTGTGGCAGTTCATAAATTCAGACAAGAAGGAATCTGGCAGTAACTTAGTTTCTTCAATTTCTAATTCATGTTCTAATTGGCATTCTTTCTCTTTTGTATTATTTACAAAAATGTGGTAATATGATATGTAATACTAACTCATTAATCTCCAACATGGAGTTTTGCTATTCTCTAGATTTTTGAGTTAGAGTTCAGATCTTTAGGACTAAGCACAGAGAGTCAAAAATCCTGAGGCTAAATTGATTCAGTCTTCACAGGTTAGTCTAAGGTGTGTAGATTGAACCAATATGCAAGTAAACAGGCATTCACTTTTGATTCCGGAAATGCAACTGCATGCCTACAGTGGAAGGGGAGCTTGAGCACACCTTCCTGTTTGGATGAAGCAGACAGGTCAAGCCAAGGCTAGCCCACCCACCCTGTGAGGGGAGAGGGTTTGTGGGGTAGGTGCAAAGCATCCTGGGATGCTGGGGCACTGTGAGTTGACTTGAATCTGGAGGGGATCTAGGACAGAAGTTCAATAAACCAATTTAAATTAAATCAGTTCAGTCTGATACTGCATCCATCCAGGTTTATCTTAAATCAGTTTTGGCTATTTTGAAAGTAATTTATGTGCACTGAACTTCTGTTGTGTTACAGATCTGAGTCAGTTTCTGATCACTTATACTGGTTTGTGTCCCTGGGCTAAATTATATTTCAGGATGTGATTTTAATATGTATTTCATTACTCTGATTATACTCTGTCAGACTGATTTAACATTTCTGGTTTTGTTTTTAAATTAGTTATCAAGCAGTGGAGTATATGAGGATGGGAATAGACCCAACTATAGCCTGTCAGAAAGTTATTTCTAGAATCCAGAAGTATGCTCCAGAGTTCTTTGGTGCTGTTATCTGTGCCAACACAACTGGAAGTTATGGTATGTCTTTTTTTGTTCAACACACGCAACTTAAGTCAGGTCACAAAGACAAATGAAACAGACAGATTAATTTTTAAAACAGGAGCCTCCAACCTTCCCAACATGTGGGGTCTTTTTGTTTATTTGTTTGCTTTTTGGGTTTTGTTTGGTGGGGTTTTTTTTTGTTTTGTTTTGTTTTTTACTTTTAACTGATGCAGTCATGCTGTCCATCCATAGCATTGAGTATCAGGCATTTTAGTGGGGAGACAGTTCGGATTTCAATGTGGCATTAAACAGCACCCTACCAAACCACCAGTACATCATGGTTTTCCATCTTCAGCCTAATCTGTAGGGTTTTCACAGATTATTTCTTAAAGTCTTAGCAAAATTGAAGCCATTTACTGCAGTTTGTCATATTGAGATATGTATGATTTAATTTGAAGGTTAAAAAGTCTCAGACTACTTTTGAGGAATGGCATTATGCAGTCAGAATGTGACTATTAACATAGCTTCAAAGCAATTCCAGATCAGTCATTGTGCTGGGTATCTCATTAGTGGACCCTTAGATCAGTAGAAAATACAATTTGCTGATCAATATGACTTATTGAGTTAGGCTGCTTATTGGAGTACTTTGATCTTTTCCTTCCCACAGTTCTGTGTTTGAGAGATTAGAGTTAAAGGAACTCATTACACTCATCAGTATTAAGATATATTTTTGCTAATTTACATTATAAGTTTTGAATTATATTTTAAAGGCATTAATTCCACTGCACTAGATACAGACACTGTATTTCCACTTCAAAAGTAAAAGGCTTTTGAGAAGTCTCTATGTTGGGTTAAACAGATTGTTAAAGGATAATTACACTATTGTAGTAGAATTAATAATTGAGTCTCTAGATGATAAGGTACAACAACCAGTGCACTAATCCAAAAAAATGTAGCAAGTCATACTTTTTTCCCTTTTTTCCGTTTTCCCAGGTGCTGCCTGCAATAAAATTCCAGGATTCAGACAGTTTCACTTCATGGTTTACAGTCCTTTGCTAAGTCAGCCATCTGAGCAAGTAGTAGACTGCATTTAATTATTTCTGTACCATCAGCATCTAGGCTATAAAGACGAAGAAGGAAAAGAAAGCCAATAAGGCTTACTGAACTGCATTTTACAGTCATTCAGTTTTGCACTCTTTTTTTGTACCAGTAGCTGAGTCTGTAAATGCATGCTGAAATTGCACATACAAATCTACAGGTTTTTACTACCATTTCATAATGTCAATAAACTTGATCAGTCCTGCAACCTAATTAGTCTGGCAAGCTCTTTCTAAATTTTGACAAATAGATGGTGTTATCTAGAGAGAAGCTAAGCAAATTTGACACTTTGTTAAAGCAGTGTTGGAAACTCATGAAATTAACACCAGTTTTCTGAGGGCCCCTCCAGATGTGCAGGTAAAGGAGCACTGGGATCTAATGCACAATCCAATGTGTGATAGATCCTATCACACATTGCCAGTGCAGGGGGAGCCTGGGATTGTGCTACTGAGCCATGCAGCTGATGGTGTGGGGCTTGCAACAGGGAGAATGCTGCTGCCACTGCTGGCCTCATCAGCTGTGACACTTGCAGTGGTGGCAGCATTCTTCCTGTTGCAAGCCCCACACCTTATGCTGCTGCTGCTGTGAGCCCCTGTCCTGGCATTTCCTCTGCTGCAAGTCCCCCGCCTGAGGAGGCTCGCAGCTGCAACAACATTCCTGGCAGTGCTGCCCCTGCTGTAAGTCACACAGCCAACATCTGCAGGGCTAACAGCAGGGGTAGTGCTGGGAACACCGCCACCACAATGAGCTTTGTAAGGTGTGGGGCTCATAGCAGGAAGTATGCTGTGTCTGGTGCGAGGCTCACAGCTGACATTGCAGTGTCAGCAGTATTCCTGGCCCTGGCCCTGCTGTGAGCTTTCTCCCTGTTGTTAGCCCTGCAGCTGACAAGGCTTACAGTAGGGGCAGCACTGGGAATGCAGCCATCTCTGCAAGCGGCTGGCAGCAGGTGAGCACCCCCGTGGCTGGGAGCCCCTCAGTTGACAGGTTTCCCTAACACAGGGGCAATGCTTTCAACTAATAACATGATTAGAACAAGCTACAACTATTACACTTTTTTTTGTGGAATAACTAGTTTATTGCATGTTATATCATGATGTTAATTAGTTGAATGTGTAGCTAGGTCACAATTAAGGCATGATTAACAGGTTAATTATGTCTTCAGTGTAACATGTAGAGGGGGCCTGGTAGTCCAGATTGGAGTGTGTACCTGTGTGTTTGTAGCAGCAGAGAGCATCAGTTATCAAGGAACGACTTCTTATGGCCTCTACAAATACTAATGACCAAATGGCCTGGGAAGAGGAGAATGACCTGAAAATAGTAGGAGAGGGCAAGATGTATACTATTTCTCAAGTTCTTCAAGTCAGTGGTAATTGTGATAGCTTTGGAGTGATTTTTGTAGCCATGAAGGTCCAGGATATATGTGAGGAGTAAAGATTTTTGCAGATGATATCTTCCAAAAGAATGAAGTACATTCCAAAGCTTGTCTAAGCATATCCCAACCATGCAGTTAAAAAAACCCCGAAACCCTTGCCTGAAACAGGCATACAATACAACCGTCAATATTTTGGGTTATAGATTCCCTCTTTCACTGGTCTTATTAACAAAGATATAAAAGGATGACTACAATCCCCACCCATTATAGAAAAGATTAAAGGAGAATGGAGGGGCAATTATGAATTAAGCAGCATATTTTATGTTACCACAATAATATCCCAGCTGCAAACATCTCAGGATGAATATATATATAATCTCATGAACTGCAAGAAAGGCAACCCAAAAAAGTGTACCTTGGAAATACAGTGACAAAAATACTCTATTAATGCTGAGTTAAGATTGCCTGCTAGTATCAAAGTTGTGGTGAAGTGATCTATGGATGTGGGGAGGAATGGGAGCACTGTCATACAAGGTTCCCAACCTTGGGGAGGCTCCCAGAAATTGAAAATTACAAATAATGTATGTAAATAAAGTAGCAGACTTACTTAATCTCTAGAGACTTATTTTAAAACTGAATTCAGATTACAATTCCAATGGATTACTCTCCTCTTAACAAAATGGGAGGCATGTCTGCTCCTGAATGTCCTAGACCTCCAAATTTCTCTCACTGATCATAGGACTAGTAAGAGAATGTATGCATTCCATCAGGTAGCTTTAACCCTGAATTAACTAAGTCTTATGTCTCTGAATAATTGCTTCTAATGATACAAGGCAACACTACTGTTTTAAAATATTCTTAGGAATCTTAAAATGGATGAAATTTTGTGTAATTATATGAATCATGACACTTTTTTTTCATTTTTGAATGGGAAGCGGTAAAATCACAGTAGAGGTTTGACATGCTATAGCACCTTTTGTCTTGATGCATCATTACAGGGATGTTCAGTAACAGTGGCCACATACAGCATTCAGTTTCTCCCTGGAGTGTTACTGCTTTTCCAGGGGAAACCAGGAGTCTATAAATGTCCAGGATTTTTCTCCCAGAGCAAAAATGGAGTCTTCAGGAAAAAAAAATTACCTGGGAATAACCAGGGTTAAATTACTCCCAGGAAAGTTTCTCTTGAGAGAATGAATGTCTGTACATGTTCTCTTCTGAGAGAGGAGTGGCCACAGAATATTCCTCCAACATCCCAGGGTGCCTTGCTTCTCCCTCTTCCATAGGAGACTGCATGTTGCACATTGGACTTGGCTGCTCCAGTCAAGTGTGGAGCAGAACATGCTTGCTTCATAATCCCACATCGTGCTACGGGGCGACAGGCTGACCCTGTGCACTGCTGCCATCAATCTCAGGGCAGATAGAAGGTGTCTGCAGAGCATGCTAAGATGCATGTACAAGGTCCCCTGGCTGCATAGCATCAGCACTACAAGCTCTGCTCTCTGAGGGCTTAGCAGTCTAATGTTTATCAGATGACTTCAGCTAAATTTTTCTATCAGGAAAATAAAGCTGGAACAGCACTCCCAGATCATTTGAACATGGGTGTGTAGCCAGTGTTGCAGTACTGTTATGGACATCACCAGCAGGGTCAGAAAGTTATTCTATTTTGTGGCTTTTTTTAGTCAGGTGTACTTTCACTTATCTTCCCCCTTTAGAAACAGTTGGAGGTCTTTCTTTTCCATAATGGTGTGCAGGATTGCAGAAGTTTCTTCATTTGCAGACAATAATTTTCTATTCTGCTTTCCTTTTCCTTACCGTAACGCGTTGGATAGTACTTTTGTTGCCACTGTTTCTTGGTTGTCTGCACTTCTTATTTGTTGAGTAGCTTATTAAGCTACACAGCTTTTTAAACTTTCCATAGCTACAAATGTAAAAGTTTGCTAACTTGGGCACCTGTCACTGTTTCTGTAGCAGCCTTTTTCAAACTGATTTCACAGCCAGTGAAAGCTTTAACACAAAGAGGGCATGTAAGTTCATAAGCCTTTAAAGAAATACAAAGAAAGAGAGGTTGTGTGTTCATACATGTTTGTGTGCATGTATATAAAACTTTCCACTGATCCTTTCAGCATCAGCTTTCTCCATCCATTAGAACTATGCTTCAGTTCCCTTTTTTATCAGTAATGCTGAAGATTGAATTATGACAGTCAGCCCAAAATTGTTTGTGGCTTCTTTCCCTTACCTTTGTTTTTGTAGTGTGCCATCCCCTCCAGCCCTGATTTTTATACCTGTAAGTGAGCGATAACAAGTATCACAGGCGAAAATTTTGCCCTCTAAAAATAATTTCAGTGGCTAGCATTTTTCAAAGTGATGTTCCTCATTCCGTTTCCTACTACATTTTAGTCATAGATACCAAGTTTCATTTATAATGTAGTTCAGTATCCTGTGGATCTTTCCCTAGATGTTTGAAGATCTGTTGTAGAAGATCTTTGATCTTCCCTTTTAACTTGGTGGGCTTGCTGATCAATTTATTAAGTCAGGAGCTTGAGATTTCTAAAGAAACTTAAAAAGGCAAATAAAGTAAAATGACCAAGTCATTCCATAAATATTTTAATTAGCTCTGTCTGTTTGAATGAAAGCTCTGGGTAATGCAAGCAAGCTTTAATGCATCTTTTATAATTAGTTTTTAGGTATCCTTATACACAATGCATTAAAATGGCTGTTGCCTTATGTTCTAAGCTGGTTTGTTTAAAAGCTGGAAAAAAGCTTCCAAGCCAGAATGGCTGTATTTTTTTATAGTATGTTGTTAACTGTTTTGTTGAAGAATTCTATTTGGAGGATTCATTTTCTTAACTAGGTGTTGAATGCTAAATTAAAAGATGCTTTAAAAACCCTTATAAATGTTTGTAATGGCTTCAAACTAAATCCTTGAGAATTGCCTAAATATATTAACTTAAGGATATGTTTACATTGCAGTTGAAGGTGTGTTGTAGCACAGGTAGGGATATCAACCCTAAAGTTCATTCAGTTAACATTGTTAACAACAGCAGAGAAGTCTTGGGGACTCTGCAGTGTACACTATACAAAACTACAGGGCAGACTTGATTATGTATTTGAATTGGTGTTGAGGTGTATCTGCCTCTTTGTCTTAGCTACTCTACTATTCTATCTAATGTATCTATCATGGTTATGCTACCTGTGCTACTGTAGGCCTCATTGGAGCATGCATTGTTACATATGTCAGGGGTGGGTGATTTATTTGGACTGGAGGGCCACGTAATGAGTTTTGGTGAGCTGTTGAGAGCCATACACACGAAGTTAATAGTGTTTAACAACTTACTATAGTAGATGGTGGTGGTATAGTAGTAGATAACAGTATATGTTAAACACCATTACTATAGTATATTATAGTAATGGTGTTTAACAACTTACTATGGTTTTTATACTAGAAAGTTTATAGCATAAATGCCATACCAAATTTTAAGTGTAATATAAACTTTCTACTATAAATGCTATAAACAGCTTTCCACACAATTCCAGAAAATCCCACATTACCACCCAATTTTCCAAATATATTTTCATAAACACTTCCACAAAACAGTTCCCAAATCACCACGTTCCCAAGTTGAC